ACACTCCAGGACGCTTTCCGGACCCGCGCGGCAGCTCCGGCCGAGACCCACGCACAACTGAAGACCCACAGAACAAGATAAGCGGAACTCTCTGAGACCTTGGACTCCAGGCTCGGCGGACCCAGGGACAGAGCTTCTCTGCTTGCTCCCACCACCACAGGTGACAAAGGGATTCTAATCAGGAGCCCCACCCTACCCTGCCCTGTCTGCTTCCATCAACCACCCAGGGATCGAATTGTGCACAGGAGACCCACCCTACCCAGATAAATACCCCACTGGCAGACTTCCACTCTCGACACGACTTCCACTACCCAGCCGTCGCCACACTCCAGGACGCTTTCCAGACCTGCGCGGCCGCGCGACACATCATAAGACACTAAATACCCATCTTCTGGAATTGTCGTACCATATTTGATAGGGTTCAAATATGGTAACACCTACAAGGGTGATTAGAGGTCACCCCAAAAGCCTCTATCCCTCTCGGAAAGACTGGCAAGCTACCGAGAGTACTCCGCCCGCACGGAAGAGCCTGGCAAGCTATCCGCTGTGTATTCGATATGCCAAAACCAGTAACTACAACTGGTCTCATTCACCAAGTTTAGATAATATAACGTAAAATCCACGTTTTTAGAATTGTTATGCCCTTTCCATAAATGATAATTTATGCCAGGGATTTTTGCTAAACTATTTAAATAATTTAAAGTGATTTATATGATATGAGTTATTTATAAATAATAATCTTCATAAAGGCAATCATACCAACCTCAGACATAATACACAGCACACTGTGTTCTCAATAATTTGCTAAATTAATGAAAAATGAAGAAGGTAAATGGAAGAAAACACATATAACTCTATATTGGAAAAATATATAATTTATGTCTTCAAGGGCAAAAGATAAATCCACAACAACTATATTCAGATCCAGAGAGTATGTTTGGTTTGGAATACAAAATGTGCCTGATGGCTGAAAGGATTGGAGAACATGCCTTGCTTGTATTAGGTTCTGAGTTTGACTCCAGACAAGATATGGCTCTCTCGACCATGTGCCAGGTTGTCTCATCCGGGGCAACATGGAGGGGAGGCAGGTGAATCCCCGTACCTAGCCCAATAGAGCCCTAACAGTCGAAAAACTCCAGAACTCAATTATCACCGTGCTCATGGCCAGCCAATTCCACAGGCTTGGACAAGCCTCATCCATGAGTGAAACTGCTGAAAAACCCATGTATGTGGGACTTGTGACTGAAAACTCCAGACGCAACAGCGCTAAGAATGGGTGAGATACCCCCCTCCTATGTCCCTCTGTTTCTGAAAGTTTGGCAGTCATGCTCACAAAACACCTCTGGCACCATATAATATCATTAATGGCCATGACCCAGAGACTCAACAATAAATCTCTCCAAAGAGAGCATGATGGGCTGGAGAGATAGCACAAAGGGTAGGGCGTTTGCCTTGCATGTGGCCGACCCGGGTTCGATTTTCAACATCCTATATGGTCCCCTGAACACCACCAGAAGTAACTCCTGAGTGCACAGCCAGGAGTAAGCCCTGTGCATCACCGGGTGTGACCCCCCCCCAAAAAAAGAAAAGAGCATAAAATTATACACCATAGAGATGCCTCCAGCCCCTGTGCCAGGCTGTCTCATCCAGGGCAACCCAGAGGTGGGTGGATGAGACTCCCTCCCCGCCCCAATGGAGCTAGCCCCAGCAGCCAAAGACCTCCAGAACTCAATCACTGCCATGCTCACAACCACTCTCCACACGCTTGGATGGGCCTCACCCATGACTGAATCTATTCCTGGACCACAAAGCCACATTAGAGAGCAGCATACCAAGAGTAGCACACCACATTTGATAGGGTTTAAAGTAGAAGGCAATTAATCTTAGGGGAAAATATACTAATGGCTCCCTGGGTGAACTACAACAATCTCCACACAGTTTTCTCTAAGGAAACTCTTTTGTATAATGTTTAGCAGATTATTCACAATGAGCAATACAAAATAAATTATTTAGGTCCTCCTACTTTTGAAGGCAGGCTTTGGAGGTTGGAGTGGGAGCGATAGCACAGTGGTAGGGCGTTTGCCTGCATGTGGCCGGCTCGGTCAAGCCAGGTTCGATTCCTTCGCCCCTCTCTGAGAGCCCGGCAAGCTACCGAGAGTAAGTATCTCGCCCGCACGGCAAAGCCTGGCAAGCTGCCCATGACGTATTCGATATGCCAAACACAGTAACAACAAGTCTCAAAATGGAGATGTTACTGGTCCCGTTCGAGCAAATCGATGAACAATGGGAGGACAGTGATGGTGGTGGGACTGTGTAATGGTGGTGGGATTGATGTTGGAATATTAAAATGTAATAAATCATTGTGCACAACTTCATACAAACAAAATACAATTTTAAAAACCAAAGATATGGCTCTCCCTGTACTGTCTGGTAGTCCCTGTGCTCCCAGTTATCTCCACAGTGACTCTACAGCCTCCTAGCACCATCACACCCAGCATCACTACCTCTCTGGGCCCAAGCATGGAGCCATTAGGTCTTGGAGTGATTCCAGGCCTCAGCCTCAAGCACTGCCATGGAGGCAAAATAATAATAATAATAACAACAACAACAATAATAAATAAAATGTCATAGTGAATTGACAAGAGTTATTTTTATTTTTTTTAAGACTGAGCCCACTGACCTGAGGATGAAGCCTGTCCCCCCATCCAGAGTTCTCTATTGGGAGCTGGGGACTGTGGGTGTGGCATGGGGTGCCACCTGCACATTAGGCTAACACCACAGCAAACCAGCTACTGTGGGTCAGCATTTAGAACACAATCCTGTTCTTTGTGTGGGTGAAACAGAAGGCAGTGTCAACACCCCCCACTATGGGGTGGGGAGCCTCCGCCCTAAATTGAGCCAGGGAGAAGAGGCTCTTACAATCTGCCCAGCTGGTATGAAATAGCCCTCATTCAGGGACCCTCCCAGGAGAGACAAGCACCAAAACAGAGCTTCACTGATCATAAAAATGTGACATTTTCTTGCAGATATCTATCTGACTGTGTCTTCAAAGCTAGGACACTGTGTGAAAGTTCAGGATGGGATGTGAGACCTGGGACAGGGGTGGGGGAGAGGGGTGGGAGTTGGGAGGAGTGCGAAGTCCTTAGGAAGATGACTTTAAGGGTTCAGCCTGCTCTCCTCCATAGCCTTGGACAGTAAACGGCAAAGGGGATGAGCTACTGGGTAATGTATATCCCCACTTCTCCATACATACAACCCAGATTCATTATCTTTGCTTCAGCCAATTGATGGGGTGAGAAGAGGATACAATGAAAGGGGGGAGGGAAGGAAAAGGAGTGGAATATGGTAACTGTTGAGGTCTGGAGAATGTCTGAGCCCCCTTTATAATGTCTCCAAGCATTGCTGCTCTCTCTGCTCCCCTCCCCAGGTTTCTGATTCATCATTTGAAGAATATATTTTGATTCTTTCATTTATCTCTGCTACGCCTCTTTTATCAAGAATCTAGAGCTCTTCTCTTGGCATTTTTACACCTAAGAATCAAACTGAGAGGACGGAGAGATAGTACAGCAGGTAGGGCATTTGCCTTGCACACGGTCGACCTAGTTCTGATCCCCGGCATTCCCTATGGTCCCCTCAGCACCACCAGGCGTAATTCCTGAGTGCAGAGCAAGGAGTAACCCCTGAGCATCGCTGGGTATGACCCAAAAAACAAACAAACAAACAACAACAACAACAACAAAAAGAATCAAACTGAATATTCAAAAATCTGACTATAGTGACCTTGACTGCTTTTTATTAAAAGAGATAATTTAGTACCTAGATCAAAACATTCTTCTATGCAGATTGCCCAAGCTAGTCAAACTATCAGACTTTGCAGCTCAATTCTATAATATGTGACCTGAACAGAGTTACTTGACCTTTTTGTTGTTGTTTGCTTTGGGGGTCACACTGGGCAGTGCTCTGAACTTACTCCTGACTCTGCATTCAGGAATCACTCCTGGCTAGGCTATGGAGTTCTGGGGATGGAATCTGGCTTGGTCAAGAGCAAGACAAATGGCCAGCTACCCACTGTATTATCTCCCAGATCTCTTAACGTTCAACTGTAACATGCTTGCATAGCTATCTCAATTCCTTAATTCTTTCTCAGACATGGGTAGCTCCAACAGTTATTTGTTGTGACACAGTGCAGATGATGCTTTTCCATTCTTTCCACTATATGAGTGTTTAATTTTGCTTTCACTCTTTGTTTCTGTTAGAGGACAGAGAATTTTATCTTTTTACTTGAGGAAGTGAGGGATTGGAGTTAAGTTCAGTTGAGGCAAGGTAGAGTCCGCATTAGAAAATCATTTTTTCTTTTTTGGATTTTTGGGTAACACCCGGTGATTCTCCGGGGTTACTTCTGGCTCTGCACTCAGGAATTACTCCTGGTGGTGCTCAGGTACCAAATGGGATGCTGAAATTTGAAGCCAGGTTGGCCGAGTGCAAGGCAAACACCCTACACCTTATCTGCCCTACTTCAGCCCCTGAATTAGAAAATCTTTGTTGTGTTCTCTGCTGGTTTTGTTGTTGTTGTTTGTTTGTTTGTTTGTTTGTTCTTACTCTACCAAGAATGATCTCATTTCATAAGGAAATATCTTCAAAATATCTTCATTAATCAGATAGTTTTCCCACCTTGTGAGTAGCCCTGGAATATTCATTTTTACTAGAATCATAGTTTATTTTCCATATACCATCAGCCTTTGTGGCAGCTCTTTCCAGTAATAGACAATGAGAAAATGAAAAACATATAAAGATATATTGGGCTTACATTTCTATAGTTTGGGGATATTAGTATAAAGTGAATCTCAAAATGTATGTGTGTGTATGTGTGTGTGTGTGTGTGTGTGTGTGTGTGAGAGAGAGAGAGAGAGAGAGAGAGAGAGAGAGAGTGTTAAAGTTAGGAAGTAAGCTTATTCTTCTCTGCTGTTTTATGTTTCATTTCTTTGTATACATCTTTTTAGTGATGGTGCTCCCAAGGGGCGTCAACTCTTCGTGTTGCTCTCATGGACTGGCCTGTGGTATGCCCAGAAATTACCAGTGTCAGGAATTGCAGACAACAAAGCTGCCAAGTTGAAACGGTATGATGGCCAGGATTGGACTTGGCACTTGTGGAGTACTGAAGATCTGAATTCTTGACCAGAGCTTGTTCTAAAACACTGCATTGTTTTTCTGTATCTCTATCAATTTAATTTCTCAACTTCAGTTTTATCATGTGTAAAACAAAGCAACTCAGAATAGGTATTGGGTAGGTATTATAAAGTCGCCTTTATTTTTATAACACTAACAACAGCAACAATATCCATCCTGAACAGATAATAATTTCTTATTATAGGAAACTATGATAGTTTCTGTTATCAGAATTTCTTCATTATTTCTCACCTAAACTCTAAAATAAAATATTAGTTTTATTTTATTTTTTCTTGGCCAGAGAATTAGAGATAAAGCACTTACTTGCTCGTGTAAAGTCCTGTATTCAATCACTAGCACTACAAAACGAAAGTATATCTATATATATTTTTCCTCAATCTTTTCAATTTTGTTTATCATTCCTACCTATATCACTCTTAGATAGGTAAAATTTTACTGCTAAAAACTCAGAAATATTTCATCTGTATGTACTCATTTTCCCCTTCTAAATGTTAAGTGTTTAATGAACGTGGTAAATGAGATGGACACAGTTCTAACTCTCTTCGCAGTCCCTGAGATACCATCTCTCTCAGAGACAAGAGAAGTTCAACTGTTGTAGTTGCAGTATCTGGTACTCTAGTACTCTTCTTGTCTAGATCATATTCTTCCAAGCTTTCCTTGGAAAATGGCAAAGCTAAATGTGCCCATTAAGAAAATAAAATTGTATTGAAATTATATATTTGAGTCAAGAGCCTTCATCCATTTTAGGCATCAGCATTTAGTTTCTATTTCCCCAGACACCTACAGAATTTTATTTGGAATAGCCATCTTTCTAGAAAGAACAATTTTCTTTAATTTCCTTTGTTTCCTTTAAAATAAGAATTTCTATTTTAAAAGTAATAATTACAGGGGCTGGAGAGATAATTCAGCTTATAGGGAACTTGCCTTCCATGCAGTCATGTCCAATTCAATCCCCAGCATCCATATGTTTCCCTGAGCACTACCAGTAGTGATTCCCGAGTGCAGACCCAGGAGTAACCTCTGAGCACCACCAGTGTAGCCCAAAAATAAAACAAGCAAAAAATAAATAAAGTAATACTTATATATTCCCTTAAATTTTTAAATGATTAAAAGCATAAATGTTAACATTATTTTATCAATGTTACCTCAACTTTAAAAAAAATCTCAAAAATAAAAATAAAACAGTAAGCTAATACCTATATTAAAATTGTCTCTCTAAAATTATGCTCTCATTCACCCCAATAGAGCTTCCTAGTTATTCTTAGTTTCCCCCAAGTTTTTGGGGGATATGCATGTAAATTTTTAACATTTATAACATGGCCTGAGAGATAGCTCAAAAAGACTGAGTGAACGCTTTGCATGCAAGAGGTGTGGGTTTCATACCTGATACCACTTAGACCGCAAAGCACACAGCTGAGAGTGATTTCCAAGTGTTCTGGGGGTTTGGACCCTTCCAAACAAAAACAAAACAAACCAAAACAAAGTGATCTATAATTATGATATATCTAATTGATATATAACTGTCCCAGAACTCACTTATTTTTTTCCACCTAATTTTTTTCTTGAATATCTGTCCACTGCAGCCTTAATAGTTATATTCTATTTAATGTTCTTTATACTATTCTCTTGGGTACTTGTATATAAGAACATTTTTGGTTCTAAATAACAGAAAAATTGACTAAAGTAGCTTTTATAACAAGGATCCTTATTTTTTGGCGGGCAGAGGGGGGCACACCCAGCAGGGCCCTGGACTTACTCCTGACTCTACACTCAGGGATCATTCCTGGTAGGCTTGAGGGAACACATATGTGGTGGTAGGGATTGAATGTGAGCCAGTTACGTACAAGGTAAGTGCCTTACCTGCTGTACCTGCTTACCTGTAACAGTTTACTTGCTACTCTCAGGCCTCAGGAACCCTTTTAAAAGCAAAAGTCTAGAGTCAGGTTAATTGAGCAGTTCAGTAATTTCATAAAGATCCAAGCATTTGTTTTCAGGTTAATTCTACAGTCCAGTAGTTTTACAAAGATTTACTTTTTTTTATCAAGTCAGGTTTTTAATTAAGATATTAACACTTATTTAACTCACCATTTTATACCTGTGGATAGCTACACCAACCCTTCTACCAGTATCAAAATCTCTCAAAGATTTAATCAAATTCTGTCTTCCGTTCCACTATTTTCAGTAAGAAGTTGAGAGACCTGTAATCTCAGTCTGACTACAGCAGCCCTAAGCACTCTTTATTACATAGTACTATCTACAGGAAATAAAAGGTTGTTTCTTCTGAAGTGTCTCTTTATTGCCTCAGTGAAGATTTGTAGAATTCCATCTTTTCAGTCACATTGATCAGATTAACTGCATGTTCATGCTAAATTACCAATAGTTGGCAAGGTAAATGAGCCTGTTCTGATTAATAAATAGGAAGTATTGGCAATTATGTCTAATGCACCAAGGCGGCCCATTGCGTGTTTCTTGTAGCATGTAAGCTATAGATTTTACATTCTTACATGACTGCAAAAAAAGAACAAAAGGAAAATATTTTGTGACATAGGAAAAATGAGATCATTAAAATTCAATGTCAGTTGGGTTATTTGAGTTTTTGTTATGTATTATTTTATTTGTTTTTGCAGTGGGAGGTGGGGTGATGCCTAGTAGTACTTGGAGGCAAGGTGGTTCCAGAACCCAGAGCTCCAGCATACAAACATGCCCTTTTGTCCTTTGAGCCATTTCCTTAGTTCTAAATTTAGGTATTCTTAAAGTTTACTTTCATATTGCAGTAGCAGAGCTGAGCACTTATATTGAAACCTAAAAGTTTTGCTAGGGTCCTTTACTAGAAAATTTGCCAACTTCTAATTTAGACTATTTCTTATATCAGAGACTTTACCCTGAATAAAAACCTAGATGGGAGCCACTTCAAAGGACAGGATCTGATGCCTGGCATGCACTGGGGTCCTAGTTCAATTTGCAGCATGACAAGGCCTTGCAGGCACCATGGTGGCCCCTGAGTACTGCTGGGTATAGTCCTGTTAGCACTGAACACTGAACCATGAGTCTCCATAACTAAGTCTCCTGAGCACTGCTAGGGAACCGTGCACTCCCCCACCCACAAAGACTATATGATCAGTAAACACAATATTCTCAGTAAGGAAGAAAATAGGAAAAAGTGGAATGATAAGTACTTAATAGTGTCTGTTTTATGTTTCTGCACATTTTCTCTAGAAGTTTCGACAAATACTCCTGTCCAAAATTCAAACACTATCCTCCCGTTGTTCATCGATTTGCTCAAGTGGGCTCAGTAACGTCTCCATTGTGAGACTTGTTGTTACTGTGTTTGGCATATCAAATACCTCAGGGGTAGCTTGCCAGGCTTCGTCGTGCAGGCGAGATACTCTCCGTAGCTTGCCGGGCTCTTCGAGAGGGGCGGAGGAATCGAAACCGGCTTGGCCGGGTTGGCTGTGCGCAAGGCAAACACCCTACCACTGTGCTATCGCTCTAGCCCCAACCAATACTCCAAACAACCATTTTTATTTTTATTTTTTATAATGTGTAAGCACTGCTATTTATTCAGTCATTGATTAAGTTGATTGAATTGGGCATGAATTCCACATTACTTACTTTTAATTTTTTTTTTAATTTTATAAATTCACAATGTGAATTGTGATTATTGATTACATTAATTGTGAATATTGATTAATTGTGAATATTGATTACATTCAATATACAAACACCTATCCCACCACCATTACACCCTCCCACCACTAAATTCGGGATGTTTCCATCCCAAACCCCAATCCCTGCCGCAAGACACAACTGAAATAATCACTTGATCACTTGACTTCCCATTAATCATCGATTTGCTTGAGCAGGCACCAATAAAGTCTCCATTTGTCCCTGTCGCGTGCTAGTGTAGTGCTGAAATATTATGTTTCATTTTGTCTGTTATGAAGAACAGCCGAACATGCTTACATAAAAGTGCAGAACCATTTTTAAATGATACACAACTCAATGTTAGCACAGTGAGCTGCTTTTCACCTTGCTACAAGCTTAGGTAGAAATTTTGGTATAGTATTACTGTAATTGTTTCTTCATTGTTCATGAAAAAAAGTATCACCTGTGATGTTGCATAAAATAATCTGTATCTGATTCCTACTTAACGCCTAAGCATCCCCCACACCACCTGTACATGACTCTTATATTCCTCCTATGGTGAAATTTTAAAATCTCATGAATTTGCCAAGCCTTTTCCTGCCTCTTTACTTTTGTCCCACGGGCTACCTCTAACTGGTATATGTTCCCTCTTCTCCACTTGGCAATTTCTTAGGTAAGACTTTCAAACATAACTCATTGTTATTTCCTCTAGAAATACTTATAAGCACCACAGGAGGTTCTTGCTTATTTGTCTCTCTTTGTGTTCCTTAAAATAGAAGCAAAACACGATGCTTTATTTTAGGATAGGATCCCCTTGGATCAAGGAATTAGGAGAAAATCATGATGAGAAGGAAACGAGCTCAGAAGTCAGTATAGGGATGACGGTCTTTATAAGCAGTGGGGCCATTTCCCTGCTGGCAAACTGCTGAGGGGCTAGAATTTAGAATTCTTCGCACACAAAGGTAAAGGTAAAGGTAAAGGCCCTCCCGTTGATCATCGATTTGCTCGAGCGGGCCCAGTAACGTCTCCATTGGAGACTTTGTTGTTACTGTGTCTGGCACATCGAATACTCTCGGTAGCTTGCCGGGCAAGGAGCATCTTATTCCTAACTGACATCTAGTTTCTCCAGGGATGTTCACTTCTTTTTCATCCTTATTTACAGAGCACAGTAGAAAGTGCAGAAACTCTAGGTAGAAAGTGGGAGGTATCTGGTGAAGCTCTTGTATATTGCTTTGACACAACCGGAAACTATGAGTATGAAAGAGACCAAAGAAATATAACATAC